CTTAGCCTTATGCTGTTAGCAACAAGTTTTTTTTAATTAAACTAAAATTTATATTTCTCTCTCTAAAACAATAAAAAGTTATAAACAAAAGAAAATTAAAATAATATAAAGCCAAAGAAAAATAAACAAAAAAAAGTAAATAAAAAATATTTTAAATTTTTCTTTTGTTATTTATAGCTTTATAAAAATTATATTCAACAATCACCGGCCTCAAGCTCTATAAAATTGTTGAAAGAAATTTAAAAACTTTATTTTCTTCTTCAAAATAGAATATTTATAAATTAACTTATACAGAGAAAAAATAAATTAATAGCGAAGAAAATTGGTGCTGAAAAATTAAATTAAAAAAAAAAATTTGTTTTTCACAGAAAATCTAAAAATTAAACGAAAATTAAATTAAAAAAGGACAAGAATAAAATAAGATCTTTAAAATTACATTTAATATAAAATATAAAGTTTGCTCTTTAAAACAATAAAAAAGAAAAATTAAATAAATTTACTTAAGAAAAGATGAACTAATTAAATTAAACAAAAGAAGAAATAAACAAAATGAACAAAAGAAGAATAAACAAGTGAAAAAAAAAATAATAAAAAAATTTTTCTTGTTTAAAGAATGAAATCTAAAAACTAAAAAAAAAATAAATTAAAAACAGAAAAAAATTGATTTTTTGTAGAACAACAAAATCTGAGCATTAAAAAGAAATTAAATTGGGAGAAAAAAAGATTAAATGGAAAAAAATTAAAGGAAAATTGCATTAAACAAATAATGTGCGTCGGCTAAAATAAAAAAAAAAACAATAAAATCTTAAAATTAAAAGAAATTAAATTAACAAAATAAAAACCAATTAAATTAAATAGATTTCCGTCATCCCTTGTCAAGCTTGGTTTTCAGACAAACCGGTGATGACGGAAATTCATTCCAAAATAAATCATCTTACCTCCCTGTCGGAAAAGTCAACCAACACCAACACATTAATTAAAGAAAAAAGAACTAAAATAAGTTCCTAAAAATTAAATGAAATTTAAAAAATATTTTTTTCTAATATAAAAAATACAATCTAAAAATTAAAAGGAACTTAAACTAACCAACTTAATTAAAAAATAAAAAATAGAACAAGTTCCAAAAAATTTAGTGAAATAAAAAAAAATATTCTTTGTAAACAAAAAAAAAAAACGTTTAGACTTTTAGTCAAAAGAAAATGAAATTGAAAGAGAAAAAATCGAATTTAAAAAGAAAAAATACTCTAAATGAAAATAAAAAATATGTATACATATTTTTTTAAACAATAAAATTTTAAAATTAAAAGAAATTTGGATACAAAAAGAAAACTAATGTAAATGTTAATTTAATAATTTAGAAATTAAAGAAAGTGAAATTCACAAAAGAAAACAAATTAGATTAAACAAAAGAAATAAAAAATAAAACAAGTACCTAAAAATTAAATTAAAAACAAGGATTTTGTCTTAACAATTTAATCTATAAATTAAAGGAAAATTAAAATAACAGAGAAAGGAATTTATTTAAAAAGGAAAATAATTAAATTAATTCCTAAAAATTAAATTTAATATGAAAAGTATGCTTTGTAAAACAATATCAGATTAAAAAAGAAAATAAATTAATATGAAAAAATGCAGCTGCCCGAGGAAACGAACTCGGATCTCTCGAATACCACGTCAGTGCTCTGCTCACTCGGCGATTACGACTGTTGGAGCGACGAGAGCTAAATTATGTATGAGTGTTGAATGAGAGAGCTTTTTTTCTAAGATTTTTGTGCTATTTAGAATAACAAAGGTCTTTCGAAATATCTTGTCATCCAACTTTCATTTGTCTTACGAAAGTCTTAAAAACTTCTTACTATCTTAGTCCGAATTACCATGTTAGTTTAACGACATTAGGGTGGTACGTCAGGCCGATAGAACCTTAGATGTGGTGGGTAAGTACTAGAACGGGTTGTTTAAGGTCAATGAATTTTGTAACAAAAAATTTTTCTCCTCGGGAGCAGACCATCGATATATCATACCTTTAGATTCGACTGTAAATGTCGAGGATATGATAAAAAATGTAACAAGGCGATCCCTATGTTAGGCCAAAAAAAATATACAAAATTTTCTGGTACGATCTAACCATCTATCTAACATAACTGCACAAACAACTACAACTCACTGCACTCATATTTCGCTGAACATCATTTAATAACTTTTCTTTGTTAATCAGTAGCTTCACTTCAATGCATAATTTATAAGTATGTATGTATGTAACTAAATAACGTCAATGGCCTTTTGAAGAGTAATAAATATAGACACGTACGCTATCAAAGCACTGCCCATAACCCACCATATTGTCATAAGTAGTGCGCCCCACCCACATTGATTTCTTTATTTTTCGCGCTGAATGCATTATCGTATATTTCTATGCAAATGTGCTCGTGTAACGCAACAAATAAGGAGACGCTTCGCTTATCAATGTTCAGTAGCACTTATTAGTAAGTATCTATAGTACAAGCATAGTTACTTCAGTAAGTATAAAAATATCCAAGTGCACATACATACATACAAGCCTACATATGTATGTATCCATATTTGATTGTTGTAGACTGTTGGCCTTGCAGGCGTTGTAAACTTGTATGTTTTTCATTGTTTTCGCTTAACAAGTTCACAAGCTCAGTCTTTATGGCTTCAAGTTTACTCGCATGTAAATAATTTTTACCTTGAAGGCAAATCAATATTTTCCATCTATTTTTGGAAAGTTTGCAAACTATGTGTTTACTAGTGAAAGACAGGGGGGGGGGAGAAAATTTTATTTATTTTAGAGGCAGATATGCATATGAGGAAGATAAGGCAAGCAAGGCAGGAGGGTAAATATATGCATAGGCTAGTCTGCTGCATACACCGCCTGTGGCCTTTCTCGAGCAGATACAATCAAAGGTGTAAGAGGAAGAAGCTACTAAATACATACATACGTAACACAAGAACATCAATCCCTAACCGCAAAAACAGCGTAAGCGATATTCTTGAAGTAATTCAAATCTTTCATACCACGTATATAAAACTTTCATAATTTTACCTCTTGCAACTTTTTGGGGCATATTCATAGTCGAAATAAAATCGACTTTTAGGCTAGTTATAGCTTTTTGACATAATTTTTAATGGAAAATCTGTCAAAAAAGCTGCACCTAACATTAGATTCGACTTTGTTTCATCTACGAGTATGCCCCATTATTTTTAATAAATTGCTAATGGAGATCATTTTCCGTCAAAAACATTTTTTTCTCTTAAAATAAAAATCTAGTAATGAGGAATATATCAATATAACACACAAGCAACATTAGTAGATAACAATTATTACAAGGTTTAGCCTTTTATGCTTGTATACAAATTATCGCCGAATATTTATTTGTACCGGGAGCCACGAAAATGAATTTAACACAAATATCTTAGGGAAGCAACAAAATTTTGGCATATTAAAAAGGTCAAAATCTTACCAGAGATGTAATTTTTAAGCGCCTTTTAAAAGTAATATTTTATGAAAAACTTGTCAAAATGTTTATATAAAATTTTTAATAAAAGAAAAGGGGCAAAAATCGCATAATTTTGAAGAAACATTTCAAAATAAGCCTATTTCTAAAAAGTCGGTGTCAGGGGGCAGTGTCAGTTTGACACTTTAGTCGCACAACGGTAACATGCACAAGTAGAACTGATAAGCTTCGATTCCTGGGCCGAGCAACATCCAAAAATAGGTAAAGTTTTTTCTAACAGCGGTCGCCCTCGGCAGCAATATCCGACCTCCAAGTGCTTGTCTGCCTTGAAAAATTCTCTCGTAAAATCCATTTGTCGTTCGTAGGCGACGTAAAACTGTAGATCCTTTAGACTCAGGGATGTGCAGCGAACTTTTTTTGGTAGCTTGTAAGGTGGTGCGGTCTAATATACCCGTCGTCTGTNTGTAGGCGACGTAAAACTGTAGATCCTTTAGACTCAGGGATGTGCAGCGAACTTTTTTTTGGTAGCTTGTAAGGTGGTGCGGTCTAATATACCCGTCGTCTGTGGGTAAAAGATTGTCGTAAGCGTCATACGTGCGTGCGTAACATACGACAATATTATACCCAGGCGACGATACGTTTAATTCCTTTACGTATGTATATTTACGTATCAAGAATATCTCCAAGTACTTACATACTTATGCATACGCTGTAAGAGATACTACACCAAAAGTAATCAATAAAACTGAATTTATACTCACAGTAATGAGGTGGTTTATGCTGCTTGGAAGATTCTTATTGAGAAGCGATTTAATTTTCCAAGAGAGATTTGTTTGCCTTATACATACAAGCACACATATATAGGGGGACAATTTCCTTTCAGCTCCCATCAGTAAGAGCTCAGAGGAGTTTGTTGAGAAATAAGAAATGTCAGCGTTATGTTTGCAAAGGTAATATCACAATATACTAGGATACTCAACGGGAAATTAACAAATTTCTCCTAATGCATTTTGTAAAACTTTTTCAATATATTAGGCCCCTTTGATAGATTTCGAAGGATATTAATATGTTTTAGAATAATTTTAATAAAAAATATCGATAAATATATCGATAACTAAATTTATAAGTAGACAGATAACGATCTCGATAAATAATTCGTACCAGTAAAAACAATATTAAAACAATATTACTACATCCAATAGAAGAGGGATCGATAAATTCCTAGATCATAATTTCGATTAATAAAGCGATAATCAAATTAAAGCAAAAAAGTTATGAAATTGGGCACGTTTCTTTGAAAGCCATTAGAAGCCTCTAAATTCTTTCTCTGTAAATCCCTTAAGCTCTAGTATTTCGTAAAAAGGCCTTTGCAAGTTAACTATTCCTGCAGGGTCATGTCACGAGTACATTTATATGATTTTTTGCGTTGCGATTTACATAAAACAGCTCATCCTAATACATATGTAGTGCATATAAATCTGATTTCTACCTGCCACTTCTTCTTTGATAATCAGTTGGATGAGATATGTTGATGTAAGAAGCTTGGAAAGTACATACTCTTTATTATTAAGTATTATGCATAAAAAGTACATACTAACTTTATTTTTATTTATTTTTTATCCACTTCTCTCTTCGCTCTACATTCCTCACTCACTCCAATTGCTTCTTGAGTGCGCACAGCTCACGTAAAAATTTATCACGCTGCTCGCGACGTACCTTCAATTGCTCCCTGGGCACCATTTCCTCACATTCAGCGGCTATCTTCGACAAGGTCTCACCTGCTTCCATTTTCGGTGTCGGTCCATAAGTTTGACTTACTGCATAGACTTCATCACCGAAGCGCCCAAAGTAATCGGCTACGCCATCAGCATTCAAATGTGCGGTCTCGAGCGGTCCCAATAGCGCATAGCGTATACCCAAACCTTCAGTCATGACGCGATCCACATCGGCCACACTCACCACACCATCGGCAACCAAGCGCCACACTTCATTCAGTATGGCGTATTGTATGCGATTGGTGGCGAAACCTTCTATTTGACGCGTTAGAGTCACCGGTTTTTGGCCAATCTCAAGCATTAGGTCGCGCACGCGTGTCACTACCTGCGGTTTAGTCCAGGGTGCAGGCACAATTTCGACGAGCGGTATGTAGTAGGGTGGATTGAGTGGATGGGCCACAACGACCTGAAATTAACGAAACAATAAACACAAACTATTGCACAGTTCTCCAGTTCAAACTCACATTTTCACGATGCTGCGGCATATGCTCACTAAAGAGTGACGGCATATAAGTACTTGTCGAGCTTGCCATAATCGTTTGCGGTTCTACAATGCCAGCCAGTTGCGCATATAGTGAGCGCTTCATTTCTATACGTTCCGGTATGCATTCCTGCAGATAGATGGCGTTGCTTACCAGTTCGCGTATGTCTGTGGTGGCGCTAATGCATTCGAGTTGCTCAGCTGGACTGAGTTTACCACGAAGTGCGGACTTCAAATGAAGTGCGTGTAGTTCCTTCTCTATTTCTTCTAAGGCGGTGCTGGTTTGCTCGGGTAATATATCATACAGCATTACCTGATAGCCGACGGAAGCGAAAAGCATAGACCAGGCACGTCCGATGAGGCCACTGAAAAAAATGTCGTGTGATATAATTCTCTTTTTATAACTTTAATTTTTTCCAGATATTTTATAGAACTAAATGTTAATTTGTCTTGGGCTTTATATGAGGATTGGGGACCTCTCTAGAGTGAAGTTGAAGACACGAACCTCGGTACTGGTTCTGGGAAACCCCCATCAAAACCTAGAAAGTTCCCATTGCTTTAAAGGTCATAAAAGCACTACGAAGTAAACCTGATTTCCCAAAAATAATCCGCTTGTTTAAAGAGTTAAATTCCTATATGAGAGTACTCTTCTTATTCCAGCTGTTTGGATTTTAAGACTACTTTGCGGACTGAAATTCTCCTGATTTCATAACAAAAGGTGCACGCTTTGTGCATTATGGAAGTGAAACGTTCTTGGATTCACGACTTTGTATCGCCTTCGCCTCGTAGTCTTCATTTTCGTACTTGTCTTTGATTATCTTCGGATTCGTCCTCGTAATTGTCTTCATCTCCGGTTTCGGAATCTTCTTCATATTGACTTTCTTATTCGTCTTCGTCTTTGTATTCGTCTTCTTCGTCGCCTTAGTCTTCATCTTAATATTCGTCTTCGTATTTTTCTTCTTATTCACATAGCCTTCGTCTTGGTCATCGTATTCGTATTCACGTTTGTCTTTGTTTTCGCCTTCATCTCCGTCTTGACCTTTTCTTTGCCAAGCACTTCGCTCACAACGTTCATTCATTTCGACTTATGCTCTATGGTTAGTTGAGGCTCGATAACTACCACCAACTCCGTTTTCGTTGCGCATTGCTTCCGTAATACACACACATTCTAGACGTTGAACCTTAGCAAGCGACTTTCAGTCTGCAGCTGGGTTGCTCCTCATACGCGAAAGGGCTCTCATTGAATTAAAAGATAATATGGCAGTTTTGGAGGCCATAGACCTAACCCAACCCGTCTGAATAGAAGTCGATTAAACCGTTGTCTGGAGACAAATTCACTTACTGAACAGTCTATATATATATAGTATAGTTCTCATAGTTATGGTCCTTTTATTCCTCAAGAACACAAATATTCCGACAAAAAATAAGTAGTTCGTAGTGCACAGATGTGAGGGCTCTTCTCGGTAGGTCCAAGAAATGTGCTATTTTGACGGGTCGCAGCAAAGGAAAGAGGTGCTAGTTGAGTGATATTAAGGCTGCCTGTGACAAGGTGGTTACCGTCTCCTCATATGCGAGACGTACGGTTGGTACGTCAGTGTCAAGTCTGGATAAGTAGGAACTTAGTCTAACAATATCCTCGGAGCATGAAGTAGTAAAATTGTTGAGAGCATCTTTGTAAATATCGTTGATTGCCTGTCTGTACAGCGTAGGGTCCAGTAATTGTTGTATGTTGTCCTGCATTCTTCAATTCATAAGTAGAGATGCCCTCAGACGAGACTAGGATTTCGGCTTTTGAGAAATGCCTTGTCGCTTAGTTTATAGAATTTCTCACGGTTCATTCAAGACGTACCCAAACATCGACGCTTTTCCAAATGACAAAAAACTGTTTGCTTATGGAATTATTTGTAATTTCTGTCCTGAAGAGGACGAGACAGTGGAATACTTTTTTGCTTATGTCATCCTTTTCAAAAGAATGAAATATGAAGAATTTGTCAAAGACGTGTTGACAGACTTTCACCTGGTTAAAGGAAACGCGAAAATAATCAAAGTGTGCTCTGTCTTGTGTTAGTCACGACAAAGATATCTTATGTTGTATTCTTTCTTTTAAGCTTAGTAGGTAAGATGCTCGCTTAAAAAAATACATTGTGATAGCATTCAGCTCCCACGTAAAACCACCGACTTTTCTACGAAAAATGCTACTACTCCTCTCACGTGGAGGGGACTTCTCTCTGATGTGAGTACTTACCTACCAATTATTCCAATTTTTTCGTTTTTCATTTTAACTGTTGAAAAAATTTTATATTTTAGCCAGTTCTTCAGTTTCAAATTAATACCACAAGTTTTTAGTATGCAGGCTTTTGTTTCCGCAAAGCTCATTCCACCATACGGTTCAATGCTGTACTAAAATTGGTGCCTCGAGCGTAGTTGTCGTAACATAATTATTTTTAATATTTTATTTACTTTTAGTACATACATATGTTTTATCTCGTCATTTAAGGCGTCTCATTTTATTAATATTACTTTCATTAATTTGATCCCTACATATGCATGTTTTAAACGCATGTTATACTGCGTTTACACTTATCAAATTTTCTCGACATTCGTTGACATGAAATGTAAATAACATAAGGGAGCAAGCCATAACGAATTTACTGCAGGTTTCACCGGTAATTCGAACGAAAAATAATTTTACCCCTAATGTGAGTTTTCATAAAAAATGCGAATTAAAAAAAAACATTTTCACTTAAATTGCTTTCGTGAAATTGGATATTAGATACTCTTTTAAGAGCGATATTTAATTTTCTGTGGTAGATATTTTTAATTGAAATATTTTGTGGCACGTCAAAATTTGCCATTTCATATACTTCGAACGATTTTACGACCAAAAAAAAACTTAATTCATGCATTTCTAAGCATTCTTGTAAAAACTCGTATAACCAAATGATAGTTTACTCCGAAAAATTAAAAACAGAATATTTATGATATTTAAGTAAATTTATGGTTTGATTTCGCTTTTGATGCTTGAAATTTTTCCAATTTTTAAAAATTCCGAAAATTCAAAATCTTTAAAAAACAAATTTCGTCCAATTTTCAACTAGGTTGCTGAGTGCAAAATTGGAGAAGAAATAAATTTGGAATTATTTCCTCAGTAGATACATATATATGCACATAGTTAGCTCTTTTCCATGTATTTTGTAAACAATAGTTTCTGAAAGTTTTAACAAATTTGTAAATTGGGAATTCGGATTTTTGATGCAGATGAAAAATAACAAAATTCATTTACTCCGAAGAATTTGGAAACGAATTTCGAAAATCGGAAATAATTTTTTATCACTTCAAACTTTTTTCCTCTTAAAAATTCCTAATATTCGAATATCAAAACATTCTCGGTTTTTTCAATGATGTGCAATACAAAATGTGATGGGCCAATGTGAAAGTTCTACTGCACTGCGAGTTTGTAGTCGTATTCATACAAAAGATTCACAGTGTCACTTCACTATCCTCATCTTCATATCCTCATCTTTAATAAATACTACGTGCAAACATAGCATTAAACTAAAGCATCGACTTTGGCACAGCTGTCGCTGCAGCAATTAATCTTTTAATAAAATATTTATATATTCACTTTTTTTTCATTGAAAACCATTAATCGCTATGCGGTCCGCCAGTTCCTTACATTTTCTGCATTATCAATGCTTAAGCTTACTTTTTCTTATGCCCACACTTTCGTTCTCGCTCTATCTCATTGGTCACTAATCGCTTGACCACTAATCGCTAATTTATACATAATGCATTCATAAATTATTGCTTACTTGATACGCATGTATGTGTATATGTGTATGTAGAAATCATATAATTGCTAGTTAAGCTCAGTTTTCTTCTAATTTTAATAACATTATAATTTATGGTTATTTGCGTTCATATGCATACACACATATTAGGGTGGCGCTTAAAATGTCACCATCATGAGACACCACTTAACAGATAAAGATATCCACGAAAATGTCAAATGAAAAACAAAATTGGGAGTCGCCTCCAGTGTTTAAAAAAAAAATTAAATTTTTCTAAATCGCAAAAATTATACAAAAATTTGTCTTTGACTCGCTATAACTCAACATAAATTCATAAAAGTTGCAATAATACGTCAAAATTATCAAATTTCATTTTTTTTCGTGCATATTTTTATATTTTAAGTAAATACAACAAAATAAAGCCTTATACATAATTTAGATGTTGATATGTTAAGGACCACCCTAATGTGCATATGAAGTATTCTTCGTTTGTCTGTTTACTGTATTTTTTTGCGCTCACAATTATTGCTTACCATGCGATACACTTTAATTGAATTCAATTCAATTATCGCCGCCTTTCGCATGCGTATCACGTTCACTCGCTTGTCTCATTTATTTCTTAAAGTTCGTTGAGGTCAATTTTGTTAATTGTTATGTACACAAATTATAAATGTCAAAAGAAATAATAAACAATGTGATTTGTTGATAATGGCCAGTTAAGTTTTAATTATAAAATTATTTGTTTTTGATGACTTTCAAATACGAACGTGAATGAATATTTACATACATACATAGCGGTTAGAGGGATGCATAAATTCATTCAAACTCCTAGCCAAACAGAGTACATTAAATTTTAATATTCTACTTCACATAAAAAACACTCAGCGTTTTCAATTTTGTAGGTTACGAATATACATTTTGTTTTTAATTTTTTACCTTCAAATGGAAGAATGTGAATGAATGAATGAAAAACAATCAAATCATTCAAACTCATTTCGGTTATATTGTTGCCTCGACACATATATCAGAACAGGTATTCACTCAAATTCAAAAAAAAATAAAGCGAAAAACATTCATTCGTTTTGTATATGAATAATTCATAAGCCGTTTTGAATGAATTCATGCAGCCCCCTAATAGCTATTATCTACTGACATGAAATTGTTTATTTTTGTATGTTCATGGACGTGTATTGGTGCAGCTTCCTATGTGATGTTACATAACAAACATACAGTTAAAAAAGCCTCAAATCAAATCAATGTTCATGCGAAATTATAAAGAAATTTAAAGGAAAAAGCAGCTACTTAGTTAGGCATTTAGTTAATAAATTTGGTGTAACAGAATAGTGGGCATTGTAACCTAGCAGATCTTTAATATGCCTATAATAACTCTCTTACTCTGGCAGGTCAAACTACTATCGCATTCTCTATTAAACGCTAACATTACCTTTGTGAAAAGTTCCTAATAATAAGTTTCCTTCAAGGATGAATTTAGGTGTATCCGTCTTCGTCTGGCCAACGCCATAAAATCGCCCAGTATGTGTTGCACCTCCTTCTCGTCTTCAAAGCTGAGACGATATTCCTAATTGGGCTGTCTAAGGCCTCCGACCAAGAGCCCAGCGCTTATTATGTTCTGGGTGTAACTAAGCTCCACAAATGCAGGCGATAAGCATTTTAAAGCCAGTTTGTCGGCGATCTCGAGCTGGGCTCAGGAGTTTCAAAACACAACTTAATTACCTTAGAGGTGATAGAGCTATTGGAGAAGGCGCTATGGCAGCTTGGTTAAGATAACTACATACCCAACTTTTTAACTAAAACACGGTAGGTATTACAATAGAACGTTTAGTGGCAGGTCGTTAAAAACTCACACCTGTTTCGTCCTTCATCTTTGATCCCTCTGACTATCAATGTTCATACATTTATGCGATCAAGATGAGGAGATCCACGTTTCAGACCTTATGTCCAACCAAAAAGTATTCTATAGGCCTGCATGTATCGGATAGCTTTGCCAGAAGTTTTGTCTAGATAGTTCATTCCCACTTTAGTTGCAATTTCGACTGCTTCCACTTCGCCTACCGTCGACACTTCGACGACAGCAGTCACATTTTGCATACGGAAAGTAGGACAGGCATATTAACGCACCTTCCTATCTCAGCTTTCTTACTTGTCTTCCAGTGTACAGTACACCAGGGTTCTTGTAGTATGTCAGTGGTGCCCATTGCTTCTTTTGAAGTGAATGAAAACTATGATGCGCATTTGAAAGCCGCGAATTACTGCAGCATGGGCGAAAAGGATTAGATTCCTTTAGACCCTCCTTTGAGGGGACAAACCTCCGACATCGTAGCACCAGCCTGAATAGTTGTTTGGCTGCTACTATACTCCAATTGAATATCTTAGTCCAGTAGGCCAAAGGTCGTGTAGGACGTCAGCAGCTGGTTTAAGCTACACGTCATTTACTCGAAAGTTCTCGAGACTGGAAATATCTGTTGCGATCCAGCAGCCTGTTCAGCGACTTTGGTAGTAGGAAGGTGCAAGTCCGTACCGAATAAAGATATCAAAGGAGATTGGGAGCAGTCCACTGACTGCATTAACTGCCGTACAGACCTTCGCGGTGTAAGCTCGGTCCAGGATTATTATTTGTGAGCATCATAAGCCCAATCTGAATATACATACATATATATTTGATAAGAAAGTAAACTTATTTTTCCCCCTCAATTGGCGTAATCCCGATTCCACAGTAAGTCTGATTTAAGCTGATTGTTTACGGGTATAGAGAGTTTGCATAAAAGCGAATAAGCACCGCCAGTGGGTTTGAGTCCATCGGCTTCCGCTGTTCCATCTTGGATTGGAGCTAACAGCTTAATAAAAAGTTTGCGATTTTGCTGAAACTTTGCAGTTTTTCTTCACAGTTTCATTCTTGGATTTAGACGGGATTTGCTAAAATATAAGCCACAGCATGGAAAACATTGCAAATATTAACAAAAAAAGCATACGCTCAATTTTGTTAATAACAGTATGTACCAAATTTATTTTTAGAATACATATTCTACTTTTCATTTCCTGTTGTTTTAATTTTATTTCTTTAATCCCCTGCCATTACAAATATCCAGCAAATGGTCTTATTTGTCATTGCATACTTTCGTCTTATAAAAAAGCAAAATCTTTTCATTGCCTTTTCTTGTCATCATAAATAATGCAGTCTCCATCCGTCTGTGGCTGATGGCGATTCCGCCAGCTGACGACTAGCATTAATGAAATTAATTTTGCTTATTGTTGCACAAATTTTTTTGTGCCGCACCTCTAAACAGTTCTCCAACAAATCCTTCAATTTTTATGCGTTTTTTTGCTACTCCATTGTTGCTGTCTTGTTGGCAATTCATTTATTCACCAACTCATTCATTTATAAGTTTGTTGTTGTTTTTTTTTTGTGTTATTTTTCATTTTGTAATTTTTGTTTGCCGGAAACGGAAACGGCCAAATGAACTACGCAGTATCGCGTTTCCTTTAGGTTGCCACGCAGCGCATTGTTTTTCTAGCTGCTTTTTGATAGCTTTTCCTCACTTTTACATACACATAAGTCACCGCTGCGTTTGACAAATGAATTCAAGCAGTTGTTATGGTCCTCTGCTATT